ACTCACTGAATTCCTTATGTCCCTAAACACAGTACACAACTCCATTAATTTTGACAATGAAAAATCAACAAGATCGGTAACATTTTTAGACACCGGCATCTACATTGATAAAAACAGAAAACAACAAATGAGACTACACACTAAAATCACTGACACCCACAATTATCTACACTTTAATTTTTTCCACCCAAAACACATCAAGGAGAACCTTCCTTATTCACAAGAACTTAGACTCAGAAGGATATGTTCTAACAATGAAGAACTAAGTAAAAACACTATAAATCTCAAGCATCATTTCACAACACCTAATCAGGGAACAAATAAATAAAGCAATTTCTACACCTAGAGAAAAGACCCTAATGTATAAAATTAATAGTAAATCCAGACACACCCCCTCGAGTAATCACTTTCAACACAACTCTTCCTCCACTATCTCAGATAATCAAAAGTCGCTGGGAAATACTATATCAGAAACCAAACTTAAAAACTTTGTATGAGGTATCTGGCCTTCTAGCAAAATTTCAGATGACAAAGGTGGGAAAATCTGAATGGCCTTTTCACTAAAGAATTAATAATTATTGGAATCAGATCAAATTTGCTCACTATGAAACATTATTACCTGTAGAACAACATTTCTGCCTAGAAAAAACATGATTTCAATAGCCATGCAAAATTCAATATAATTGAAAAAATAGAAATAGACACAAAAATAACCTTAGAAAAATACTCAAGGAACATGAAGTTAAATGGATTTTGTGCCTCAAAACACTTTGTCCAGACGAACTTAACCACAAATTTAATAGCACAGATTGAATTAACATATAATCCCAGAAATCAAGCCCTACCCACATTTCTCACCCACACAAGACAGACATGCTTGTGGAGGTGTTGAGGTCTCACACATATATACACACTCACACACTCCTAATAAACTAAAAGATAACATACACTTAACACACACATTCCCTTTTCAGCAACCGATAAAACTGTCAAAATGACCAAGGAGGGAATGCTGAGACCCAAGAATCTCCCAGCCTTTATTTTTAAAAAAACTTGAAGGAGGCCATTTAACCAATACAAGGACTGAGCAAAATTAATGATAAAAAAACAAATGAAAACTACAGAAAAAGTTCACTTTCTTCATAGGTAGTCATTCACTCCTGTATTGAACTGCTCCTAACAAGCAGGGATTTTTTTTCTCCCCTGATGATGGCCATGACCGCCAAAACTAGTCGAGGGACCTAACTGAAATGATAACACAAAAAATATTAATATACAACCCAGTGTGTCAGAAAATTTTAATTTCTTAACACTTTTTTATTGTTCAAACATAATTATGGACAATTGACACAGGACTGAACATAGACATAACACCAAGAGAAATGATAAACACCAAAGTATTAGCTATCTGTATGAATAGAAGAACCAACAAATTAGTCAGGTATGAATCACATCAGGAATTTATAAGGATATGCCTGAAGGATCAGCTAATAGTGACCAATTTCAAGATTTACTTGGAACCAACAATAGGTAATCATAATGATGCATTTCTAGCATCATCATACAGAAAAATACAGGACTTTTCCAGGGAGCTCATGCAGGATACCATAAAGTTCTGCTAGGAAACTATAACAGTAACAATGGCAGAAATCAACCTGATTGATGAGCAAATAAAAAAGAAAAAAGACAGACATGGAGGAATATGCTAAAATAAAGAATGTTATAAAAGCTCACACAGACCAAACAGAGAGGAAACTATGAAAAACAAAGAAAATTAAAATGGAATATTTCCTCCAGCCAGAAGAACAAAAGAGAAATCAAATCTAACTCAGAAAAAAATGGACGACCCTACCACAAATGAAAACAACAACAACACATCATAACAACACCAACCACCACACAACAAATGCAAACAGAAGACATAAAAACCTTGTTTGAGGAACATGGCCTTCTAACATATTCGTAGACCAAAAAACCTTAAGGAAATCATAGGTAGTTACGATAAAGTAACATGTAATAGACCAATAATAAAAACAAGGGGATTTTCCCAACCAGATAACAACAAAAGGAGCCTATGTTGTAACCACATTAGACATACCAATTCATTCACTAGATCAGTTAGTAAGACTATTTTCAAAACAGAAACAATATGTGGGAAAATCTGAATGGCCCTTTCACTAAAGAATTAATAACAATTGGAATCAGATCAAGATGACTCCCCATGAAAGTTTATTACCTGTAGAACATTTCTGCATAGAAAAACATGATTTTAATAGCCATGCAAAATCCACTATAATTGAAAAAATAGAAATAGATACAAAAGATAACCTTAGAAAAATACTAGAGGAACATGAAGATAAATGGATTTTGTGCCTTAAAACACTTTGTCCAGACGAACTTAACCACAAATTTAATAACACAGATAGAATTAATATATAACCCCATAAATCAACCCCTACCCACATTTCTCATCCACACAAGACAGACATGCTTGCAGAGGTGTTGAGGTCTTACACATATACACACAATCACATGAATATATACACATACACACATCATATACACTCCCAAAAAACTAAAAGATAACATACACTTAATACACACATAACACACACATCTCCTCCCCAGCAAACAATAAACATGTCAAAATGACCAAGGAGGGTTTGCTGAGACTTATGAATCTCACAGCCTCTATTTAGAAACAACTTGAAGGAGGCCGTTTGACAAATACAAGGACTGAGCAAAATTAATGATAAAAAAACAAATGAAAACTACAGATAAAGTTGAGTTTCTTCAGAGACAGTCATTCACTCCTGTATTGAACTGCTACTAACAAGCAGGGATTTTTTTCTCCTGATGAAGGGCATGCTTGGCAATACTAGTTAAGCAACCTAATTTAAATAATAAAACAAAATATATTACTCTACAACACATAATGTCTGAAATTTTAATTTTTAACATTTTTTTTATTGTTCTATATATATATATATATATATATATATATATATATATATATAGCTTTGTATATAAATACATAAATATATAGAGATAAGTCTTTCTGCACCATAACATGGTATTTTCTGCCTCTGGCCCCTCATGGAGTCTGCACTATTAACACCAGAAGACATTTTAAAAGTTTTATTACACAGCCAACTAACAAAAATATTTTGGACATTTTTCGTCTTGTGTTTCCTGTTTAACATTGTGTACCTTCCCATGCCAGACATTCTTACATTTTTTATGACACAACGTGCAAATCAAGTCCTCCTGATGAGAGTAACATTTATATTTAATCCACTGTCCCTGCACATAAATGCTAATGGGACTCTACAGGACAATTTATGATAAGCAGACACAACCACATTCATCATAAACCCAGTCTCAGATCAATGATTAAAAATGGCTTCAAGTAAATTATATTCTTTTGGTCTTAAGACAACACTTCTTCAGATCTTACAGAATTATGAACAAGAACTTTATGAAGTAACAAAAACCATGTAAGTTGAAGACTTCCAACAGCAGCAACAACTAAACTAGACAGCACATATAACAAAAAAGCAATATATGATATATAATGAAATAATCAAGATGTATAATAATATAAATAATAGTTATATGGTGTATAATATCAAATAGAATAAACCGGTTTATAATTATATAATAATGATATAGTCTATTTTTTTTAATCATTTCACACCAAGGCAGGCAATAAAGCCACTCTGATGCAAGAGGCTATTAAATGTAAAAAAATATGAGAAAAAGAAAATAATCATTAAGGAGTGAGAACAGTAAAGGAAGAGGAATTAAGACAACAAAAGATAATGATTAACACTGTATTTAAGAGAGTTCTGCAAGTGAATAGTGCTGAAGGCACTCTTAGAATAAAACTTTTGGTTACAGCTATAGCCATTTCAACTGTAAACTGATGCGACCTCTCTGCCACTCTAGTAAAGTGCCAAAATTCATAAAGCAGGTACCAAAGAAAAAAGCCCATCAGAAAAATTAGCAGGAATATATTTATAGAAAATGTACATGGAAGCTATATTATAGTGGGAAAGTGACTGAAGACATGATGACAGGTTAGGACTGATAACATTGCAGATCCTTCTTTGGATTTTATCAAGAATCTCTAAATATATAGCAGGAGCACCAGACTATATTGAAACAATGATGAATGGTAGACTTATAAATATTGTGAATTGTGGTGAGAAAAATTCTCTCGCATGAGACAGTAAACCAATTTTCCTAGCAGCAGACTTAGCAATTGATTCAATATAATTATTCCACTTGATGTCAGCAGAAAATGTGCAACGTATCACTCTCTTGAAGGTTAGCATCTGACATGCTTATAGAAGGCAAATAAGTTTTCTCAGATGATTAAAAAAGAGTTTTGTTTTGTTTTGGATATATATATATATATATATATATATATATATATATATATATATATATATCAAGGTAAGAAGAGAAAGAATAGAGTACAATTCTAATGCTTGTAACATTTAATTTAAAAGAGAGCTCAATACAAAGTAGAGCAATATTCTTTATTTTAGGATATGACATTGAAAACATGTCAAAATCGCTACACAATTGCAGTCATATTTCGATGCACATATAACGCATCTCATCAGGCGATTGTAAATTACTGGTAAGTGAATGATTTAATCAGATTTAAAAGCAAAATACAGTGGTTATAAGGTTTTTGGGTTTTACTCAGATCAACCAATCAAATGTGACCTATGTTAAATTTAAAGTAAAGGAACAAGGAAAAAATTAAGAAAATATTTTCCATAAATGTGTCATGACCTGTATGTTTGAAATCAGTGACAGCAAGAGACATTACACAGGCGTGGATATGGATGTATACATATTGTACATAAGACAATGTCATTTCCTAAGAAAAATTAAGTGGTAATCTAACAAAATGCTCTTTTCTTTTTTTTTCTCTTATATCATCTTTCCTTCTCTTTCTATATTTTATATCCTTTTTCTTTCTGCCTATGTCCTTTCCTTCTCTTTCTGTATTTTATATCCTCTTTCCTTCTGCCTATGTCCTTTCCTTCTCTTTCTATATTTTATATCCTCTTTCCTTCTGCCTATGTCCTTTCCTTCTCTTTCTATATTTTATATCCTCTTTCCTTCTGCCTATGTCCTTTCCTTCTCTTTCTATTTTTTATATCCTTTTTCATTCTGCCTATGTCCTTTCCTTCTCTTTCTGTATTTTATATCCTCTTTCCTTCTGCCTATGTCCTTTCCTTCTCTTTCTGTATTTTATATCCTCTTTCCTTCTGCCTATGTCCTTTCCTTCTCTTTCTATATTTTATATCCTCTTTCCTTCTGCCTATGTCCTTTCCTTCCATTTCTACATAGGCAGAAGGAAAGAGGGTATAAAATGTAGAAAGTCCTGTCTTACTTAGGAAGTGAAAAAAAAAAACAAGAAAAATTTATGGAGCAACATCTACATTTATTCTTCAAAATAAAGCTCATCATTCTCAACTATCTTCTGCCAGTGATCAGCCAGCATCCGAATTCGTCCCAGATACCAGTCTGTTGGCTTTGAATCAAAAAGCTGTAAACAATCTTCCTTCACTTCATCAAAAGTGTTGAATTTCTGGTTGAGGAGGAAGCGTGCAACTGAGCAGAATCAGGACTGTATGGTGGATGTGGAAGAATCTCAATACCATTATTCTGTTTGAATTTTTCCTTAGTCAACCTGGCAATGTGTGGCCTCGCATTGTCTTACTGAAACAAAGCTCAACCTCAACTGATCAAAGCAGAATACTCCTTTAGTTTTTGGTACATGTGGTCAAGCTGCTGGTAATACAGTTTAGCATTGATGGCACAAACTCTGTGGAACAAACTTGAAATGCAGTGCTCCTTAGAAATTCCACCTGACAGAGGTCAAGATTTGTTGTTTTTTTTTCCTGTTTTATAAGTGTCAGGACTTTCTAGCTAACCTAGTATGTAACAATCTAACAGAAAAATTCAGTGTATAATTCTAGAAATAATAATGATATAGTGTGTAATAAACAGATAATATAATATATAGTACCATGTAAGCAAATAAAAAAAAATTCAGTTATCTGTTTGGATTAGTTGTGCTCTTATGTCCATCGTCTTTTCATGTTGAATTTTATATGTTCTAATGTTAATTATGTTTAATGAATATGTCCTGATGATGGTCTAAAATAGACCGAAACGTCCGACGTTGACTTTATATTAACATTAATACAGCATAATTGCATATTAAGATTTTTGTTTGTTTTTTCTGTATATTTTTCTTCATACTGTCGGATAGTACCATGTATGATATTTTAGTCAGCTTTATTTGTTTCCAAAAACTAACAGAATTTTTACCGACTACAGAAGCTGGAAGCTGTTACACATCACGACAGATAGGCTAGCTGGTATTTCACTTGGCTACACTGCAGCAGTCAACGGATGTCACACCCTTTTAACACATGACAGAAACTGGCTGGTATATGATACACTGCAACATGTGGTATGTTATGACATATGACAAGTTTAACATTTTTCTGTACTGTTTTACATGAACTATTAATCTGACCCACACAAGTGGGATGGCACCCAATTATAGCAAATCACATTAACTTAGTAATTTAATATAACAATTTTGTTGACTATAAATATTAAAATTTTAACTCCTGTTTTTCAGACATTTTCACCTTTCTCCAGGTGAAAAGATGTATGACATTTCATGTTTTCAAGAAAGACAGTCATCATAAAACAAAATTAATTCAAAGAAAAGAGGGGGAAAAATGTGTATTTCAACAAATTGATGGATCAGCCTATGGCAAAAAAAAAAAAAAAAGAAATTGCAGACGATAAATATTTGCTGGAGGAATTTTCATTTAAAACAACTTTTAAGAAAGAGAAAAAAAAATGAAAACATAATGAAAATTTCAGATTAAATAAGTTTTAAATAAACTGAAAATTAATTACCTTTTCATATGTTATCATCAGTAAACACACTTCTTTTTTTTTGTTATCTATTCATTGCTTACATTGCCAACAATTTTGTTATCTTTCCCTTTTTATTTCTCTACACTGCACATCTTCCTTTTTTCAATATCTGTCCATGGTTACTAAGTTATATACTCTCTTTCCATAAATTTAAATCTCTCCTTGTTATACAATATCCTTTCTTTCTCCCTCTCTATTATTCCCTGTCTTTTCCTATATTTTATCTTCTCTTTTCAACAGTTTCTACTCATCTACCTTCTGCCTATGTCCTTTCCTTCTCTTGCTATATCTTATCCTTTCTTTCTTTCTTACTACAGCCTTTCATCCTTTCTACATTTTATACCCACTTTCCTCCTGCCTGTCTTTTCCTACCCTTTCAACATTTTATACCCTCTTTCTTTTGCCTATGTCCTTTCCTATTCTTTCAACATTTTATACACTCTTTCATTCTGCTTATGTTCTGTCTCTTTCTACATTTTATGCCCTTTTTTCTTCTGCTTATGTCCTTTCCTTCACTTTCCACATTTTATACCCTCTTTCCTTCTTCCTATGTCTTTTCTCTCTCTTTCCACATTTTATACCCTCTTTCCTTCTTCCTATGTCTTTTCTCTCTCTTTCCACATTTTATACCCTCTTTCCTTCTGCCGATGTCCTTTCCTTCACTTTCTATATTTTATATCCTCTTTCCATCTGCCGATGTCCTTTCCTTCTCTTTCTACATTTTATATCCTCTTTCCTTCTGCCTACGTCCTTTCCTTCTCTTTCTACATTTTATACCCTCTTTCTTTCTTCCTATGTCTTTTCTCTCTCTTTCCACATTTTATACCCTCTTTCCTTTTGCCTATGTCCTTTCCTTCTCTTTCAACATTTTATACCCTCTTTCCTTCTTCCAATGTCTTTTCTCTCTCTTTCCACATTTTATACCCTCTTTCCTTCTTCCTATGTCTTTTCTCTCTCTTTCAACATTTTATACCCTCTTTCCTTCTTCCTATGTCTTTTCTCTCTCTTTCCACATTTTATACCCTCTTTCCGTCTTCCTATGTCTTTTCTCTCTCTTTCAACATTTTATACCCTCTTTCCTTCTTCCTATGTCTTTTCTCTCTCTTTCCACATTTTATACCCTCTTTCCTTCTGCCGATGTCCTTTCCTTCACTTTCTATATTTTATATCCTCTTTCCATCTGCCGATGTCCTTTCCTTCTCTTTCTACATTTTATATCCTCTTTCCTTCTGCCTACGTCCTTTCCTTCTCTTTCTACATTTTATACCCTCTTTCTTTCTTCCTATGTCTTTTCTCTCTCTTTCCACATTTTATACCCTCTTTCCTTCTGCCGATGTCCTTTCCTTCACTTTCTATATTTTATATCCTCTTTCCATCTGCCGATGTCCTTTCCTTCTCTTTCTACATTTTATATCCTCTTTCCTTCTGCCTACGTCCTTTCCTTCTCTTTCTACATTTTATACCCTCTTTCTTTCTTCCTATGTCTTTTCTCTCTCTTTCCACATTTTATACCCTCTTTCCTTTTGCCTATGTCCTTTCCTTCTCTTTCAACATTTTATACCCTCTTTCCTTCTTCCAATGTCTTTTCTCTCTCTTTCCACATTTTATACCCTCTTTCCTTCTTCCTATGTCTTTTCTCTCTCTTTCAACATTTTATACCCTCTTTCCTTCTTCCTATGTCTTTTCTCTCTCTTTCCACATTTTATACCCTCTTTCCTTCTTCCTATGTCTTTTCTCTCTCTTTCCACATTTTATACCCTCTTTCCTTCTGCCGATGTCTTTTCTTTCTCTTTCCACATTTTATACCCTCTTTCCTTCTGCCGATGTCCTTTCCTTCACTTTCTATATTTTATATCCTCTTTCCATCTGCCTACGTCCTTTCCTTCTCTTTCTACATTTTATATCCTCTTTCCTTCTGCCTATGTCCTTTCCTTCTCTTTCTACATTTTATGTCCTTTCCTTCTCTTTCTACATTTTATATCCTCTTTCCTTCTGCCTATGTCCTTTCCTTCTCTTTCTACATTTTATATCCTCTTTCCTTCTGCCTATGTCCTTTCCTTCTCTTTCTACATTTTATACCCTCTTTCTTTCTTCCTATGTTTTTTCTTTTTCTTTCCACATTTTATACCCTCTTTCCTTCTGCCGATGTCCTTTCCTTCACTTTCTACATTTTATATCCTCTTTCCTTCTGCCTATGTCCTTTCCTTCACTTTCTATATTTTATATCCTCTTTCCTTTTGCCTATGTCCTTTCCTTCACTTTCTATATTTTATATCCTCTTTCCTTTTGCCTATGTCCTTTCCTTCTCTTTCAACATTTTATACACTCTTTCATTCTGCTTATGTTCTGTCTCTTTCTACATTTTATGACCTCTTTTCTTCTGCTTATGTCCTTTCCTTCTCTTTCAACATTTTATACCCTCTTTCCTTTTGCCTATGTCCTTTCTTTCTCTTTCCACATTTCATCTTTTCTTTCCTTTTCTCTATACCATCTTTTCTTTCCTTCTCTCTAACACCATTCTTTCTTTTCTCTTTACACTATCCTTTCTCTTTCATCTATCTTCCTTCCATATAGCAGTCCTCTTATCTCTTACCCTCTCCCTCACCAATTTTATTACTCATTGTGCCAATCCAAGAAACCAGCAAACTCTCAGCAATAATAACACAGCCAATCCCAGTCCAGATAATCTGCGTTTATCTAAGCTCATATGATTTCAAAATAATTTTATTTTCTTTCCTTCATTTTTACAATCTTCTTAGTCTGAGAGATAAAATGAATATAAAATTTCAACATCTTAGCCAAACCTTCGTGTGATCAAGGTGGGGATTTCAAACAGAAACTCATCTTGCAATACAAGTTAATATCCACTTCTTTCAAGTACTTTCCACTTTTTCATACATTTTTCTGAGAATCTCTTAAGGCGATATCTATTTTTTTTCTTCAATTTCACTGATTCAAACTTCACCTTCTTTTCAGCCAAACTCTTGAAAAATCTAAAATCCATCATATTTTATCAAAGATGATTGTCAAATAAATAATTGAAAGGATAGAGAGACATTGATTTTAAAAAATGCACATATAAAATTATATTGTTCAAAATTTATTTTATTTATGGAGAAAGAGTGCTCAATATGGGTGATAGTGTTTTTGTAGATATAAACAATGTGGACTTAGATGTCAATATGGTCTAATAATTAAGACCGGAACCTGCCAGTTACCACAAAGTGTAGATTTCTATATCCACACTGATTATATCTATTTATAAAAAGACATTTTTCTAATCATAGACTGAGCTTAAATAGTAAAAATTATGGAAATGTAACTGCTTTGTTTGACTATTACTGGAAGTTTCAAGAGGAATCTGAGAATTTCTCAAAGAATGAATGGAAATTAAAAAGAAAAACTTCGGCTTGCTGAAGCAGTACAGATTTCTATAGATTATATCCTAAAGCAAAAACTAGACATATTAGTGATCAGTTATTAAATAAAAGACCAGCTCTTGTAAATAAATGTCATTTTTTTTTTTTAATGACATGCCTCTCCAACACAGGTGATTCCTTTTCTTGTATTGGGGCTTCCAGCATGAATGACAAGCAATATGCCGTTTCTAAATTTCTGGTGGAGTGAATTGTGCCATGGTGTTTTTTTCTTACAGTCCGTGCCCAACTGACTCTACTGAACTGTGCATTCGACAAAATAAAAAAATAAATAATGCATATGCATGAAATTAAAAATATAAAATGGTGACAATTTATCCTTTGCTTTTTCTCTCTATATATATATATATATATATATATATATATATATATATATAGAGAGAGAGAGAGAGAGAGAGTTTATGAAAAACTAGGTAATCTGTATAGGTAAATCCAAGGAGGATAAAATCCAGAGAGCTCAATGTAAATCCAGAGCAAATAATTTAAATAAAAAACAGGCCACTTTAAGGTTCCATGTAATAAATTATTTCACCACAGCCCTTTTAAAGGACTGTGGATCATCAGACTTTACTTCCAAAGGTTGAAACAAAAAATGAAAAGAAATTTACACATTTTTGACGGGCCGTATTAAGCATATGTAAATTAACAAAGTGAGGGGGGGAGAGAGAAGACATGAGTGAGTTAGATGTAATTTAAAATTTCTATTCTTTTATACTTAAAATTACTTGAAGTCCAGACATCGACACATTTAAACGGTTAACTTAACAGAAGTTATATATTGATATTGAAGGGGTAGAGGAGAAAAAAAACCCATAAAAAGAAAAAGAGAAGGAAGTCATGAAAGAAGGTGTCACTAATTTTCTTTGGAAAAAAAAAAACAGGCTAGAAACAGATGCTGTTATTTTGTTTTACTTTGAAAGTGTTATTTTGGGGGTTCATAAAGATTATAATGTTTGATATAAATTTGAATGTCTAAACTGTCTACAAAGAATTTAATTTGATGTTTGTTAGTGATTTAAATTTTTTTTTTTAAATTTTGGGGATTTTCTATGAAACAGTCGATTAGAAAAATATTCATAGAAAGTACATTAAAAGAATAAAATTTTATTTTAAAATATAAGTTTACTTCTAGTAATCTTTTTTATCTTTTTAAAAAATGTTTATTATTGATTATTAAGCTGACATTTCTATCTGTTTGAATTTTGATCATGAATTTAACTCTTGACCGTTTCTAGATAGGTAATCTCTTTTACTTAAATTTTAGTTACGTTAATATGGGGTAATATTTGAAGGTAATATTAAAGATCTTGCTCTGTCATCTACTGTATACACACCCATGCAAATCTCACATACACATACGTTCCCTTACATGTGCAATCACTTATACAGGTACGCATGTACTGATATACACAGGTAATTTCATGTATTAACACCTACCTAAATATAAAAAATTTTTCCAATTTAAATATATATATATATATATATATATATATATACATACATACATACATACACACACACTGTTTAGGATTGGTTTCTGGTTCCTTTTAAAGTTTTCTCATTCTCTTTCACTCCTAGTAACACCTTGCATCTTAGTGGCATTATCACCTTGATTGGGGTGAACTGATTTAAAAAAAAAAAGGTAAATAAAATAAATAACTTGAAATTTTGACCAGGACTCAGGTTGCTTAATTTTTGTTGCCCAAACAAACAGGTAAATAATATTTTATGAATTGACTTCATCTGGCTGTCTTTCATTATATATATATATATAGATAGATAGATAGATAGATAGATAGATAGATAGATAGATAGATAGATAGACACACGATTTATTTAAAATAATCAATTTAGAATCAGGATACAGATTGCATAATTGTGCAAAGAAACTGTTAAAAATATAAAAAACATTTTTGAAAACATGTCAAAATGAAATTTTTACAAATTGTTTTATATATTTCCCCCTATGTATGTATTTACACACATTTTAAAAAATAAAAAAAATAAACAACTTAAGATTTTGATCAATTCCTGTGTTGCTTAATTTTTACCAAAGAATGAATATTCAATTTACTTAAATGCTTGCTTAATATTTTTTATGCTTGGGTCAAATGAATAGAAAAGAAATACATTTCACTGTAACTAAACAAGTAGAATTGGTAGAATTCTTAAATACACTATGAAATAATGTATTTAATAGTCCTTTTTATTCAATCTTATGTATTACTTTTTGTTTTCTTTGCTCACTTGAGCTAAACTGACATCAGTAATGGAGCTATTTAAGATTTAGTCAAAGGGCTTATGAAAAAATTTTGTCATATATATATATATATATATATATATATATATATATATATACACACACACACACACACAGTCTGTCTGAAGCTATTATGCAAATCGCATAAACCTCATAAACTTGAAGTTTCTTTGAACAATTTTTGTCAAATTTTAAGAGATTAATTTAGATGTCAAAAAGCTTGAATTAAATTTTTAGGTAGTTTCAACATATTTTATTAAAATTATGATATATATATATATATATGATAAAATATAGTTTTAAACTATGCTATATTTAGTGGTAACAATGCTCAATATCAGGGGTAGAGCATGTGTAAATATAAGAGTGGACACAGGTCAACACTGATTGGCAAAAGTCTGTTCCATCATGCAATCTTCAGGCCATCTCTCACTCTCTCTACGTACACACACACACACATATATATATATATATATATATGTATGTATATGTAGGCAGAAATCCTTCTTTCATGCATATTTCATTAAATACGACAGACAAGGTGCTTTTATTTAGTTTTTTATACAATTTCTCATGTGATCTAATAATTTCTTTCTTTTCAGATGATAAATTATATAAAAACTGACAAATGTTCTTTTTATTCGAGTGCTCTTGGCTATACATTTAGCCATTTTCAAGGATTAAATATTTTAACTGTTAAATAAGAAATAGTTAAGAAATGTATGTATGTTTTATAAACTTTTTCATTTTTCAAAACATGGTCAAGATATTGTGTCCATGTTCAAAGTTAATGTTATTAAGTGTTGTTTTTTTTGTTTTTATTAATAAGGCTTCCATTATTTTTAGCCTTTTTTGCATGTAGATGATGCTATCATATTAGTGTTGTCAACAAGTATGCTACGAATAGTGTCCATAACACTAAATGGGATCTAATTGAGCTATGGTCAGAAAGGTGTAGAGTGAGTCTGCATGTCAAACATGTTGTAGTGTGTCCTATATAATTATTTATGAATTTTGATTGATCAAGAATACAATTACTTAATGGGCATTTATATATATATATATATATATATATACACACACACACTCAGATACATGGCTATGGAATGCATTGAAAAATTATCAAACTAACTCAGAAGCCCTCTACAAAATCTGACCAATCAACAGATTTTTGGTAAAGTAGGTGAGGCCAAGAACTTTTCAGCAACCTCTCTTTCTCTCTCTCACTTCACATATTCAACTCATAACTGGTTTTAACACAAAAAAATGGAAAAAAACTTATTCTTATTCATAACACGTTTGGATTACTGATATTTCTTTTCAAACATTCACCTGGCAAATTTGCACCCAATTCCTACAGCTTGTCATCAAACAACATTCAATACATTAAATTTTTCTTTTGTTGTTAACTTAAGAGGTTTTTTATTTTTATTTTTTAGGAAGCAGGCATGGAGACTTTGAAATTTTTAGCTTTTCATTTTAGTGTTTCATAATCAATTTACCAATATTTTGTCAAATCACATGCTGAAAATTGCTTTTAACTTTGACTAAGTTGTCTAATAAAATAGTGTAAATAAATAAAAAAGCAAGAAAGTATTGAACTTAATGCATGAACAAAGAAGCTTTCTTTTTTTATAAACACTGCCTTTATGAAAGCCAGTCAGATTTAATAAAAGCTACAAGAAAACATATTACAATCAGAAAGAGACTGTTGGAATTTCTGGAACAAATAATATGAATAGTTGGCTTGGAGAATTTGACACTTACAGGTAAGAGAAGCAGGGAGAAACAGAGAGTAACCAACTTAATGAGTTTGTGTGAATGGATTGCAGAACAGGGACCAATGTGTTCAGTGTTTGCAGCTATTTATCTGTATC